GAGCCGATGGTTGCCTGTTGGCTTCCGCGGGGGCTCCTCCTCCGCGCCCGGCCGCGCAGCCGGAGCGCGGTTGTCCCGCTGAGTCCCTCCGCTCCTCCCTCGTGGTTTCTGCCCTCCGAGCCCCGCGGGCGTCGGTGCCCGCGGGCAGCGGAGCGTTCCCGGCGCCGCGCCAAGATGGCCGCTAGGGTGCGCGGCTCGGCTTTCGGGAAGCTTCTTCCAGCTGTGCCGGAAGAGAAGCAGAGGTCCTTGTGGATACAAGGACTCGTTGTAGCCCAGTGCTGGGGGAAAATGCATTAATTCACCAAGTGTCATTTAACGTATCTGAAAGTATAGTTTAGCCCCCGTCCTGTCCCTCCTATCTCTCCCCCCCAAAAAAGTATGACAAATTACTAGTTACTCATTTTTTACTGCTCATATTTCCCCCATTTTCTGCACATATGTGATGTTACTTGAGCTACCTTCAGAAGTGATGCCCATAGGGTCAGGGAGCAGAGAGTTGGCGATAAATTGTCACTAGCCATAGCAATTCTCTTTGCCATATGGCTCTTCTGTATGTGCAACAAAAGAAGCATTCCTCCTCTAGAAATAACTTGTCTGCTTGTCTTACCTGTGGGCAAACATCATTTATTTTTACTATCTTTATTATTGATTATTAGTTAACTGAGTTAATAATTATCTGGACAAGCCTAGAAATAAAACTTTAATTAATGAGCTGTTCTCGATAGAGCTGTATATTGAAAATAACCAGTTCACATACATAACGTGGAAATCAGGGAAGTAACAGGTCCCAGGTGAGACTGATTGCCATCATGCAAGTTCTTCCTTTTAACAGCTCACGTTCTTTTTAAGAGTTGCCCGTTCCCGGGTGTAAAAGGTGATTGGTTTTAACTGGAATGAATTCTGAGATTAGGAAAAGGGAAGCTCAAGAACTGTCCCAGATGCACCTGGGTACACTGTGTCTGACAGTCGCTCCAGTCAAGACGATGGTTGCAGCACACAATCCTTGGGTAACTTAAAATTTTGGAATACGGATTCCAGAAACAGAAATTATGCTGCATTGCTCCCCCAGCAACTTCCTGCCCATCCTCGCTATTTTACATCCATTCTGGTGTCCTGGCTTTCTTCGCCAGAGGGTTACATTGGGAGCAACTGTTCACATGGCCTCTTCAT